ACACACACACACACACACACACACACACACACACACACACACACACACACATATATTTTGTACCTTCTCTTTTCCCTCCACCAATACATGCCTGACACGCCCACCCACCCCCCTTCCTTTACTTCTCCTTTTCCCCTCCACTGCAAGATCAGTTTCTCTATCTCTGCTTTCTCCTTTGTCTCAGATGTACTTGTGTATGACATTTATTTGAATCACTTGAATGTGCTGCTTCTGTGTTCATCCCTTCTTTCTTCCTTCTGCTCTATTCTAACTACTGCGGGTAAAGAAGTTAAAATGTTATCAAAAGAAGAGGAAAAATCTGTTGGAAGTATTTTGTCGGGATATCAGTATCACTCACTACAGATACTCACACGAAATTTTGTTTAAAAAGATGACATTTGAGTACAGATTAGTTGGTAGAAATGAAACAACAACAAGAACAACAACAACAATAACAACAGTAGCAGCAACAACAACAACAATAACAACAGTAGCAGCAACAACAATAATAACAACAGCAACAACAACAAAACTGACAAAATCAAAAACAAACAAACAAACAAAATCAAACACACTGATAGTTCCGACTCACATAATTTCGCAATGATGAGCTGCGATAAGACCTAGATAGATGGAGTCATTGGAACATTAACCACTCACGGCATCCCCCTGACCCAAACTCTCTGCTGGTGGCAGAGAGACGTCTCTTTCTTGCAGCGACACCCAAAAGGTATAAGCGGCGGAAGAAAAAGCAACAACAAAAAAGATGAGCTGCTACAGAAAGGCCACATTACAGCCTTTAAATCGTTATAAATAGATCGTGCGTACGAAGATTTGTTATAAGTAAGACACATTACAACTGGACAACAGAAAACTTGAGTAAAGAATGGACACATACACTAAAGCACATACAATACAATTTTAACCTTATTTACCTGTTCTCATAATACTGCCACCACCCCCTTCCCCCTCCCCTATTGAAAAGGGAAGAGAAAGCATATACACACAAACACATACAATTTCAAATTGAAATGATTTACTTGTCTTTATAATACTACCCCCCCCCCCCCTCCAACGTCCTGGAAAAAAAATAAAGAAAAAAGATGACTTTTATGCTCACTTCTTTTTTCTTTTTTTCTTCTCTCCATCAGGGGAAATTTGACGAGGCGGACACAGGCAACAGCGGCAAGATCAGTCATGACTCTCTGAGGCGCATCCTGTCAGACACTGTAGGGGATCAGGTCACCACTGACCCAGCCCTGTGGGACAACATACAGAACCTGATCAACACCGTAAGTATTGGTTATGCATGGTTGTTTGTTTGTTTTTTGTTTGTTTGTTTTTTTGGTTTTTTATTTATTTATTTATTCATCTATTTATTTAT